TAGTTTACACGATTTTTAAACTTATATATATATATATATATATATATATATATATATATATATATATATATATATATTAGAGGGTTGTGTGTGGATATAGATGAAACATAAGATGCATGCGTGAGCGTGGGTTGGTAGTAGAGGTCCCATATCATATCACATGATGCTTTATTAAAGTAGTCTCCTTAGGCTTTCAACTCCCATCAACCTCTACTTCTCTTCCTCTTCTATTTATCTTCTACTTTTTCATATATATATATATATATATATATGAAGTTGAAATATGAAGAAATAGATATGCCAACACATGCCACCGAAAAAACTCTACTGAGCCTTTCATTTGCTTCTCTTCGATAAAAGTTTGATTTGGATGAGAACCAGCATCTACAATCTTTTTTTTTTTCAACTCATTTATATTTAATTTTAATCTATTTTTTTAATTTAATAATTAAGAACTATTATAAAAAGGAAAATCTCGAATTGGATCCTAAATTGGGAACCTCAAAGTGGCTCTATTTCATTATATTCCATCCATATCCCAGTGGAAGGGTCGTCGCTCAACGGATAAAAGTTTACTTAAATTGAAATAATAGTAAAAAAAGGACTTTTCCTTCCTTTTGCCGCATTTCGCTCAAAGGGTTGAAGGGAGATAGTGCATCAAGCTGTTGGATTTATGTTTTTAATTTCCAGGCGTGAATATTGGCAGTGGAAGGCCGTCGCTCAACGGATAAAAGTTACAACCCGTAATCGCAACAACCCAATTGCAAGACCCCTTCTCACAATGAAAATGTATATAACCCTATTCCGGTCACTACAGCCCCAGGTGGCGAAGAGCCGACATCGAGGTTATGAAGCTTCACTGTTCCCTGGGAATATATATATATATATATATATATATATATATATATATAGGAGCGTTCAAATAAAAACCATCTAATTTGTACAAAACCGTGCAAACTTCATTCAACCAATCATAATTTTTCATTTTGTTCATTTTTTTTTGTAATTATAAGAGGTTGATTAACCATTTTTATTGTGTATGATGTTAATCATGGATATTATCATCTTCATTATTTTAATTTTAGAGAAATACATGAAACAGTTTCATTAAATTATTATATAAAACAATTTCATAACCATATATGAAACAAATTCATCAAAAAAAGTATTATATGAAACAATTTCACAAGATTAAACAATTTCATGAAAAAATTTCATAAGATTAAACAATGAAATCGATGTATGAAGGTGGTTTGTACGGTTTGTACAAATGATGGTGGTTTTCATTTGATCGCTCCTATATGTGTGTGTGTGTGTGTGTGTGGATTTAATCAAATGAGAACCACAAATATGTTATAAACTTGTAAGAACCGATGTAAAAATAGTTTTTACATTATATTTTTTCATCAAATGCTTGCTTCATATAATTTGTTTCATAATATGATAGTTTCACATGCATTTGTTTCACCATGTGAATATATTTTACGTGCATTTTTCATTTCACTAGGTAAACCAAATACTTTTTTTAACATATAATCGTTTCATAAGGTAAACACAAACATATGTGAAACAATATTTTAAACCATAAGTTTTGATGACAAAAATCATGTAAAAAATACTTTTATATTGGTTTTCACGGGTTTGTAACATGGTATTTATTTTCTGGTTTCACCTATGAGCTTTTGGTAAACACAATTGGAACAACCAAAGTTCATAGACGAAACAAAGATCATTGTTTCGCCTATGAACTGTAAACAGAAATCATTGTGTTTTCACATATGAACTTTAAACAAAAATAAGTTTTTTACTTATGAATTATAAACAAAAACCATTGTTTCACTAACGAACCTTCTGGTTAATTACTTTATTCATTTTCTGGTTTCACTTATGGACTTTAGTAAAAGATTTGGAAAAATCAAAGTTCATACACGAAAAACATTATATCAGAATTATTGTTTCACCTATAAACTTTAAATAAAATTCATTATTTCATATATGAACTTTGGTAAAAGAAATGGAACAATCAAAGTTCATAGATGAAACCACCTGAATCAAAACCATAAATACATCAAACCAATTTTCAAATATGAAACTTAAATCAAGCCCCAATAACTGGATATTGTGCTTTGATTGTTTCTTCATCCTCAACAAGCTTCGATGGCTTTGTAACATTCTTCCATGGGGATCTACAATCATTCTCCGACTTGTGGCATCTTCAACCAAATCTCCGGTTTAAAATGGGGAAGACGGGAGGCCGAAATCCATTAGATTCGATCTGTAAATCAATAAATCGGGTGGTTTAAACATAGAGAGACGATGGAGGGGATGGTATGGGAAGAATCCAGAGGATTGCGACATGATATTTGATCGAAAGTCTGGTTTCCTGATGGAGAGAATTAGAACCATTGCATCTTCTACCGGCGCAACGAGGGGAGAATCGAGAAAAAGACAATAGGGAAGATTTGAAGAAATCCACTTATTTTAGGGATAAATAGAATTATAATTATCTTCCAAAAATACGATATAATTTGTTTCAAAATTACCTTTGACTTAATTTCATTTAATATGTTTTTTTTATATCACTTTATAATCTTTCGTCTAATCATAAGCATTCATAAAATAAAAATAAATGGTTCATATGATTTGTAAAGTTAACACTAATGTGTTGGTGAAAAAAATATGTTCCTCTCTCTCTCTCTCTCTCTCTATATATATATATATAGAGAGAGAGAGAGAGAGAGAGAGAGAAAGGGGGGGATGACATTTCAAATGCAACTCATTACATTTGTATACAACCTAATCAATTGAAATATTTATGAAAATAATCAGAGTTTGTTTATTATATTTGAATATTTATGGAAGATGATCAGGGTTCATTAATTATGATCAATATTTTATATTATGAAACAATCAAAACTTTTATGAAATCACATATTTATCAAATTAAATAAATGGTTGAGACTGAATTGTATTAATTGTACAAATATAACGGGTTGAATAATAACTCAGCTTACTATATATAGAACCATTTACATTTGTACAACCAATACAACTCAATCTTAACCATTAATTTAATTTGATGAATATGTGATTTTATAAAAGTTTTAATTATTTCTTAATATAAAGTATTGATCATAATTAATGAACTATATTTATCTTCCATAAATATTCATATCATAATAAATGAACTCTCATTATTTATATAAATATCTCAATTAATTAAGTTGTATTGATTGTATAAATAGATATGGTTGTATTTGAAATATATATATATATATATAGGTGGAGGTTCAAACGAGAACCCCTGTGATTTACGAGAACGCGAGAACAACCCAATAACCTCAAACTTTTTTAATTAATAAATTAACTTTTATCATATATAAATAATTTAATAAGGACAATAATGTAATTAAGTAATTTTTATAATTTTTATTTTATTTTAATTAACCATAATTATCTTTTCACGTTCCACGTTTTACTCTTGGTAGTTATCTTCTTCTTCTCGTTAACATCTTTTCTTCATATCACACCTCTATCACATAAGTATYACACTCATATCATATGATTATCACACYCATATTATATGATTACACCAAAATTTKAACTTRTCAACCAAAACGATAACCCAAGTGATGTATAATAGTGATTATCACACCCTTATCACATGATTATCACACCCAAATCACATGATGACACCAAAATTTTAACTTATCAACCAAAACGTTAACCCAAGTGATGTATAATGGTGATTATCACACCCCTATCACACTCATATCACATGACTATCACACCCCTATCATATGATTACACCAAAATTTTAACTTATTAACCAAAACGATAACCCAAGTGATGTATAATGGKGATTATCACACCCCTATCACATGATTATCACACCCATATCACATGATTATCACACCTAGTATAATCCTAACCTATTTCGTAACCGTTTTACTAGATAATGATAAGACTGATGATAATAATGAGTGTTTAAAAGATAATGATCGTGTTTAAAAGATAATGATCGTGTTTAAAAGATTTGATGATATCATTTCCATTATTACCCTTTTAATTTTAAATTTTTTTGAATCTTTTTAAATTTAAATTTAAATTTAAAAAAAAATTATTTTAGTTTTAATCACAATATGAGGTTATTGGGTTGTTCTTGCGTTCTCGTAAATCACAGGGGTTCTCGTTTGAACCCTTCCCTATATATATATATATATATATATATAATAGTTAGAGGAATTTATTAGAGATGAAAGCACAAGCGAAGATCGAAAAGTGCAAGATGTGTTTTTATAGCAAAAAGAAAGAAAATAATAATTGGGATTCACTTTCGGCAACTGAGATTTCAAACATTGCGGCTTCTGTCCTTTTCACATCATCATCATCCATTTATTTTTTACCACACATTTTCATTTTCTTATTAAATCTTTTCTTATTTAATATTAAAGTATTTTAATTATTTCATCAATTTTTTAAATTAAAATATGTTAATTTTTCATGTAATTTATATAAAAAATAATGTACTATTTTGGAAAATTCAAATATCATATATCTTTACATGATATATATGGTGTACATTTAATTGATTTATTTTAATTACAAGTTTCATTTTTTAACTAATTTTTTTTATGATTTAACAACTTTTACAAATGTAACGGTAGATTACTATGTATAGGAAGAGTTGTTCCTTTCTTAGATCCAACTATATCTTTCTTGGAAAGAACGATCATCGATTGCGGTGTCGCATTCCAAAAATGTTATCATTGATTCGAAAAATATCGAGGGACCCACATAGATGTCAGGTATGCATATGTATGGTCTGAATAAAGCGTGTAATATCGTATTCCTTGAAAATAATTTGTTATAATTAAATGAGATTTTTGGAAAATGAGCGTTGCGACGAGCACTACAATATTAATTCAAGAAACATATTGCTTTTTGTGCAACGATGGTACTTCATTGGTTTAAGCTTGAGCTCCAAAAATCAAACGTATCTGGAAATCCCAAGTTCAAATCCAAGGAGAAATAAAAGTCCCCTTGTGACCACGGAGGTTCAAATACGGTGACTCCGGACCACCCGCAAAGCAAATGGTCTCCTTGGGATTAGTCAACTCACATAGCGGATTGATATCCATGTCATTAAAAAAAAAAGATCACACGTCTATCTAAACAAAATAATTGATGTACCATCAAGAAATCAATCATTTACGTTTCTTGGAGCTACAAAAGAAAAGTGAAATTAGAGTTTATTGATGTAATCCTATTAGAATTCCTTCATTCATTCCTGCTACAAAAAGAATTTATATAAACCAAAATTATTACGAGTAAAAATGAGATTATGTCGTCAAAACGGACTCCACCCAATCCGATGTATATTCGTATGCAACAAACGTTACGGCACCAGCAGGTGCGGCTTTCACGATCGATGGCACGATCCCTTTGTAAAGTCCCGCCCACCCCTCCTGTTGCATGATCCGTTTCAGTGCATCGTACATGTTTCTGTAAGCACGATGCTCCACTCGAGCTCCGTATTTCGGATGTCTTTGCAATCCTTCAATCTGTACAACCACCAATGATTTTGTTTCTACCTCCACGTGGAATATACTGGTTTTGTTCGGTTTATTTGTTACTCCCTATATCCCAAAATAAGTGCTCACGCCTCTATTTTAATTTAACCGAAAGTAAGTGTCTACTTTCCAATTATACCCTCAATCATAAGATAAGAAATTCATTACTCCCTAAGTTGTGTTCTCGAAACCTTTTTACAAAGGAAATGAAAGAGAGGGAAACAAATTAAAACCCTTTAAAAAGATTAAGGGTGTAACCGTCATTTAGTGGATTAGAAAGTGTGATAATACACATTTTTAAAACCGTATTCCTTTTTCTATTGTGGGCATTTATTTTGGGACGATGGGAGTAATATACAAGAACTTTACCAGTTTCTAAGGATCTGTAAAAACTGTTCTCACATCAATGCAAAGATGTTGTCATCAAAATCATACCTGAAATCGCTTCTTGACAACATCAAGAGGATGACAAACAGCCTTAGCACATGATCCGGCAGCGAGCCCACAAAGAAAAAGCTGAAAGCTTGTGATAGGCTCTTCAGGGTGTGTTGCACCTGACGACCACCGTCCATTCCAGGCCTGAAACCAAATACCAAAATGTATCAGATATCTTTTTTTAAGAGATGCAAGTTATATCTCGTATAAATAACCCAGTCTACAATTGGTTAGAAGGCAAAATAATGGGAGGAAAAATGATGTATTACCATTGTCCAGCGTTTGAATGTGTCGTAAGTACCAAACTGCAAGCCAGCGTACGGGATAATCTCAACTAGAGTGGGCGATAATCCAGCATACAACCCACGAAAACCACGGGTGTTCATGATTTCAACAAATGCCGACCTCATATTCGGGTATATCTGCATAAATAGGAGATATCTGGTAAGAAAAACATTCAGAAGTGTTCTTAATATGGAGACAGAGTTGCAGCTGCAAAAGATATGATAAGATTCAATCATTTTCAATAGGATTTAAATCCTGTGGAAACAGAGCCCCTGGAAGAAAATTTGAGCACATGAAGTTCTAGAAATGAAGCATAATACAACAGCATTGGCATAGATTAGAAATGAGGCCATCACAAATCAAAGAAGCAACTAATATAGAGCAATGAGCACAAGCAAATTAAACCTGTCAACCTTAAACGGATTATAGGGGGGCTAGAGGGGTCAACTTTGTTCATACAAACAAATATATGATCAATTTATGGATCCCATTTCACCTATAAAAATCTGAGAGAATTTAGCGCCTGCAAAGAGTACATACAAATACTAAAAAAACTGCAACAGAAAAGGCTCAAAAATAAAAACATAAATTTGTCATTGGAGTGAATATCAGAATTTACCATTGAAGTTTCATGTTAAATGTTCATGTCAAGAATAGCATAGAAGTTCAATATGCTTTAATGTTACCTCTTGCTATAGTGTATAGAGGGATGTGCAATGGTGGCAACTTGCTGAAAGGAAAACCCCACCAATAGCAAAACAATTATTCCAAAAACTAATATGTTGCCGAGGTCGGGAAGTTAATCAAAATGACAAGATTTGTAAACCGTTGTGTTTATCTACGTATCTGCATGAGTCACAATTTCTCTAGGTGACCAACAAAATTAACCTAGTACAGGTTCCAAACCCACATTACGAATTTGGATGCAATCATCCACTGAATGCCAATATATTGAGAATGCCCAAGTGCTACTTAAAAAAGGGATCAAATACAGGACTCCTACAATTACATACTCCCCTAGTTAAATGCAACCTGAAGAGTCTTGGGATCCGTTCACCAAACCAAAATCCAAGCTTGTCACAGTGTGAGAACCCAAAGATGTATACATAAATATATTTCTTTCAAGCATTCAAAATTATTGTATAGATGAGTATGCAAACGTGCCTTTCATAATGGGTGGATAAGCATATTTTGAGCAAAATAGACCAATTATATTTAACCTAAATGGTTAGTGCAAGTCAGGCACGGGCCTCAAAATACATCTTATAGAAACATATATAAATACACACAACTTGAATAGGGTTTAGCAGCAGGTACAAGCCTGCAATGCAAAAACCAGCAGTACTTCGATAGAGGCAGAAGCGAGAAGGGTTTGAAGAGTGAGCCGCGAGGGAGAAGTTTTAAGTTTTAAGGTCTAGATATTTATAGAAGGAGGCTTGAAGTTCTAAGGACTGGGTATTTAATATTAGGGTTTGACTTATGTCATCTATTCAATAACCCTTCCTTTAAGAAGTCTAGGAGATGAGAAACTTCATTTAATATTAGGGTTTGACTAGGTACTTAGTAACTCCTTATGAGGTGCACCTAGGCCCAAAAGGCGCCTCAACCACAACACCCTAGTGAGCCTCGTGAAGCCGCGTCGCCTCGACTTTAAAGAAGCCCAAGATCTTGAGCCTTATGCAGCACAGGCACGCTTTTAACAACTTTGGTTAAGTGTATCTTGTCTTCAAGATTCAAAGTCAATCTAACTATTATCAGAGAAAATCTAAAATGGGTAAAACAGCACAAAGCTGCTGTGAGCAAGAAATGATGAAAGCCATTTAGACAAATTGTTATATTTGATCAAGTGTGTCATGTATAGAGCTGCTAAGACAGCAGAACATGAAGAATCTCTCTAACGACCAAGCTGTGGGATAAAGACAAAGACGTCCAACGTCACAAAAATGGTGAAAAAAAGTCGACTATTTCCCACAAGGAAATCTGAAAAAAGAGCAGAGAAGAGGGGGGCAACAAGGTAGTGAAAAGGTGATGATACAAATGTCTGCGGCTGTCAGCTGAAATTTTCTGTATAAACCTGCTGCCCAAGCATGGATTCAAGGCAAGACAATAAGAACAAAATTTTCCAAGATCAAACCAAAATTTCATAAGAAACTGGGAAGACTATAATGTTTGAGAAGTTGGGAAAGGGTGAATTCTGCTGAGGAGTCTTGCTAAGCATATGCAGGTCTGAATGGAGAAACTAAGCATCCCCTCTCCCTCCCATTTTCATGTCATGACCCTAGGTATAAATAGAGAAGCCCTCACTTTACAAACTTCACCCAAAACTAAAAGTATCAAAGCACTGAGCAATAGAGAGATAGCTGGAGTTATTGCAAGTAATCTACGAGTTATTTATATCCCGAGATTCGAACCGAATACCAAGCACCCATCTTTGCTTAACCTACTTGTCGTATTTTAACTACAGTAACTTGCTATTTACTTTGATTTGAGCCTTGTGTTCATTTGACTTCATAGACCCATTGAATCGAAGCTATTCAATAATTACTTGTTTCATGAATTTTTGAAATGAGAGTTGTGGTTTGGTAGCTTTCATGATTACATTGAGACATCAATTATTTGAACATTAATAATATTAGTCCTTATCGCCCAACCTTATAGCCTATCTTTGTTACATGTGTAACAAAACGATATGAAAAAGTAATTTGCGATACTATGCTATAACTTAAATGAATGATCAAATATTCCATTGCTACGTACAACAGAACATGACCTCCGGTACCATTAACTTGTGAAATTATCAAAGCAACAGGATGATCAACATAAAACGAATATTTTTTATGTTAGCACAAAATGCATATAATATTAAACCCATTATACTCATGAATTTCTATTATGTCTGCAGAGTCTCAAAATTATATCAGCCTCTGAAGCTTGTACCATGAGCATGTTTATTATGTAAAAAATGGAATTATATTCTGCAGGAAGTAAATGTAATAGCATTTATACGCTTCTATGTATGTACCTTTGGCTCCCCTTGAGAAGCTAAAATGGTTCGTATTAAATCAAACGGATAGGACCCAACAGTAGCAGCACATCCAGCTAGCGCGCCGCTCATGAAAGACAGGTATGGACTTAAATGAATGTGATCTTCTGCATGACAAAGAGGCCCGGTGTTCGGGAGGCGTGAGAAAAATAAATTGATCTAAAAAACCAAAAAAGCATAACACCTATCTTCCAGGTTGTATGTCCCATTTGCCAAATGCACAATATTTTGGAATATGTCTCTTACATGCCTACTCCAGTCATCTATTCTAAACTATATTAACACTTCCATGAACAGCAATACCATTCAATGGAGCCAAAAGGCAAAAAACATCACAGCATTGGCCCTCCAACTTTGGTAAATCAACGAAGCTGTGTCCCTTTCATAAAATATAATAACTTGTAAAATAACAAAAATCTTCATGTGCTTCGTGAAAATTTTATTAAGACAACACCCATGCCCCTCAGTCATCCTCCCTTTTACTTATCTATCCCCATCCTAGTGGAGTGAAAGATAGAAGTCAAATTTAGATCACCGACTGATGAACCCAGAGCTGATGACAGCAACAATTCCTAATGTTTATACACATATATCCATTCACTAATATGCAGACTAGAATTATCAAATTATAATGATAATGTTTACAATATATAAATATGTTAGTAATGTTCTCATCTTTAAATAATTGCTCTCGAAATTTTGTAATGACAATTTAATACCAGCTGACAAGTGACTAGCCCAAGTAAGCTTTCAGAACCTTAAGTGACAGTCCTACCTCAGACAATAACAAACTCCTATACACAAATCTAGGCTAAGGGAGAATGCATTAAAAGAAGTAGCTGTCTAAATCGCCCACCAGTTAGACAAGAAAAGGGTACTAAGAAATGCTTTTGGGTGAATAATAATGAGTCAAGGACTCTTGTTATGGAGATTCAAATTGAACACAGACCCGACTTGGAGGATCCAGAGGCAAAAGTTTTCACTTTATGCAACACCATGAACTGTATAGCCGTGTATGGCATGACCATGAGAAGTGCTGGGACATTGCCACGCCAAAAGCCCTGAAAAAGGAGCTATGTTAAACACAGCCAAATAAGAAAGAACATCTAGTATAGATGCATAGATGGAAAAAATCCTTGGTAAAGATATCAAAGAGTTTATAAACCAGTAGCATAAGTTGTGGCCTACATCTAGGCTCTAGCTGAGGTCTTTGACAACAAAATAGAGTCAGGTACAAATATGTGTGCACAACCAATATGAACGGATAGAATCTATATTGTGCCAAAATAAATACACAAAATTCCCTACAAATAACAGAGATTTAAACCGCATTGTTCCCAAAGAAAATATTTATAGATTGGAGATGTTTAATAGGGCTGAGGTATGACCATTAACAGCTTGGTCCTGTCAGTATGCACAGAGAAAAGGTAAAGGGAGAAACAAGCAAGTAGAAAGACAGACATGATAAATAGAGCTGACTTATAAGACTCTGTAGATGACAATATAATCAACTACAAGAAATTACTACACTCTCTAGCATAACTAGATTTGACTAGTGTATCAATGGCACATGATTTGAGAGATTATTATAACTTAACAAATAAAAGCCATAGAAGTATGTTTGAAACCTTGAACCAACAAGAAGAGGTATTGACTTTTTTTTAAGTTGGAAGTTTCCTAAAGGTGATGCATTCCCTAAAAATGCACCTTTGGGAATCCAAAAGGCAAACAACAGGCCCTGAACCCACCATAAGATATGAAGAAGTCCCCCCCCCCACGAAAAAAAAATCAATGGTGAGGTAGGACATTCATATCGGCAGAAAGAAGGTTCTCAATGTAATGTACATAACCTCCCTTCCATGATCACTTAGGGAGTGCTTGGTTGAAGGTTTTGGATGATAAGACTCAAAAGAAAGCAGACTATTTCACTTGAGAGTAAAGCACCAAAAGCAAACAACAGCATTCAGTGCATTAGTTGAAGGACCCGTACCGATAGGCCTTCCTCTCTAAAGATGTCTTTAGATGCTTGAAACATTCCAGTATATTTAGAGGTCCCATATACATTTTTGCTGAGCAATGCAAAAGAAGTAGTGGGTTCCAGTTGAACCTGCAAATATAATCAACAAAAATTATGTTCAGTTTAACTTGATGTCAAAATCAGCCAAAAGTTAAAATACATTGATTCTTCAAAAGGTCCAAAATCGACCATCAAAATTGATAATATCAAAAACTATGTGATGCTGATAAGACATTCAGGAATTGTGACACGGTATAAACCCAAAATCTATTACCTAAGAGAACTTGAATAGTTATTTTCCATTATGTTTAAAGGGTATTACGTAAAGTCTGTAATTTAAGCATCCAATGCCAGCCACAATGCATCAGTACTTCTGAACTTGATATAATGAAATCAAGGGAGACTGGCATTACCAAATTTGTCATTAAAAGAATTGGAACTGTGTTCTTAGATCATCGATCCAGCAGCATTTATGTACTTGACAAGTGGCATTCCGATCGTGAAGGGTCTCCATAAAAGAGACGACAAAGTGTGTTGCTACATTGCAGTTTGAACTTCAATCTCAGTCTAATCGTATTTCTATTATTGTTGCCTAAATGCATAATGGTAAAAGGAAACTATTAAGTTGGCTGTTTTCCAGCAATTATTCCATCCATATTGATTGGTTTCCCCAAAAAGTAGAAACTTTTGTGAACATTCTGGATTGGCAATAACATCATCTTCCTAATTACAAGAATAATATTAACGGTCATAAATTATCACTTCCTTTTTCCTTAAAGATGCTTTTATTTGTTTTTAAACTAATAAAGCAAGGGACGACGTACAAGGGTTCTACATCAATATGAAAAATTCACCTGGAACCGGATTTTAATAACATCAAGGGGGGAAGTAACTGTTCGAGATATAGCTCCTGAGATAGAACCGGCCGTCGCATCTATAAACGCCCTTTTAAGTTGCCCCGGCTCTTCCATCTCCCCAAATACCAGCACAGCTTATGCTAAAACCTAAATAAATATAATACAAAATGGCAAACAGAATAAGCACAATTTGCAGCATATTTAAATCGAACCGAAATTGAGCATTCAATCAAAAATCATTAGGGTAATCGTATAACCCATAAAAACAATTTCAGTGTGATAGCGTCATTAATACGGAATGTTTCTAAGCGAGATGAATTGGGGATTAATCAGGGTGGAATTGTAAATACTTACTTCTTAAAACGACTTAAAACTTGTATACCCCTTTAATAGATAATGTAGAAAAAGGATACAACGGCGAAACTACGAAGAAGTTGACATTCATACAAAGTAAGGATACCTGAGAAGGAAGGAGAAGAAGAGCGGAGCCGCCGCCATTGATTATTGGAAAGTGAGTGGGTATGGAAGGTTGCCGCCTGGAGATGCGAACGGCGGCAATTGGGTGGCGTTTTTTGAGAGAAGAAGCGGTTCGATTGGCTGCTTTGCGTGGCTACCGGAAATCTTTCTTTAACATACAATCGTACCACGGTTCAATATATATATATATACCGGCGTAAATTGAAAGATATTTTTAAAGGTATATTTTATTTATAAATTCACAATATTCTTTTATTGTTTAAGGAATTGATCGTAAAAATATTTTTTACATATTTGTAAACTTAGCCGTTGTTTGGGATTATTTATAAAAATTAGAAGAGTACTCATGCAATGCAGCGATACACATCTCAATTTTAATGTTCTATTTTATTATTTGTCTATGTCGATGTTATAATACGATTTTATGTGTTTTTAATAAAACATTAATGATTTTATTTTTGAATAAAATATAAATTTGAAGATATTATAAAATTTTGAAAAAAAAATATATATCAATGTTAATATCAAATCAATTATTTAAAAGTTGTCATTTTTTATGTAATTTATTTAATTAAAATTATTATAATTTAATTAAGTTTAATAACGAAATAATTTATTTTTGGTTTAATAATATAACATTTTATAAAGATAATWATTAAGTATTCTGTTAGAACTCAATAATTATCCTAATTATATTTTAGATTTTTTATATTTAAAATGAGATGTTTATCTTGTATTTGATTATGGTTATCTGCAGTTTGTTACACGAACTTAGATATGGAGCTTTAATAAGTTGTACTCATTCACAATCTATTTGCAATTATGAGTTTTAAGTAATATGTATTAATAAACAGTATTTTACGCATAAAAAGTGGTTTTTAAGAGTTTTTGTCAAATGTTTTATAATATAGTATAGATAACTTATTGACTTATTTCGATGCGGCACCGGTAATAAACACTTATTAAGTGTTTGAATAAACAACTTATACCGATTCCAAACCGATGATTAATAAGAATTATAGATATATTTTTTAAATATTATGTAACAAGTTGTTTGAGGTAAGTAATTATAGGAGATAAATATAGAATTATCTTGGTTTCAATTAATTGTTCATATAATTGTCGTATTTTGATTTTAAATTTATAATGAAATATAATAGATGTGGTTTATTTACAAACTCAAAATACTGAACATAAGACCTACACGTAAGGGAATCGGTCCTACTCATAAAGGTGAAGAACCAAGCACTAGTTCGTTGAAAACAAAAAGAAAGACTGACTTTTAGATGACTTATTTAAAAAAGAGTCGTTATAACTGCTCGTCAGAATAGGCTTTCAGGCAGCCAGTAGTACAAACTCATACAAATCAATCTTAATCGTTCACTAGTCTAATGCGTGCGTATCTAATTTGATGAATATATCGATTGTTTCTTAATATAATGTATTGATTACAATGAATGAATCTGATAATTTTTTATAAATATTCAAAATATGATATATAAACTTTCATCATTTCTATAAATATCTCAGTTTTTTTAATTTGTACTAATGATTGAATTTGTAAAAAATTCCTACTTTATAAATGTATGTTATTTTGTTTTGAATTAATATTTATTCTTTTTATATTTTAATAAAAAGTATTTTAGCAATAACGCATTATTTAATAAAAGGAAAACAGATTAGAAAAAAAGGTATTGTATTTAAAAGAAAAAGAAAAAGAAAATAAAATAAATAGTTATTCACATCATTTAGCATATATTCTCATACATTCCGATGTTGACTTGTTTCATAAAGATTCTCAGATATTTTGTTTGGTTTGGGGGATTATTTTTGAGAGATTAGAATTTAGAGGGATTTGAATTAGAATCGATTTAAACTCATTGGTGTATTTGATTTGTAAGATTTGAAATGGAATTGAATTTCATTATTTATAAAAAAAAAATTATTGAAATAATTAAATTATATTTTTATTAATAGATTATTATAAAACAAATGTTTTTAATATTTTTTAAAACTTTATGTTATAAACTCCTATGAAATCACGTGAAATTCAAGCACCATGAGGATTTCAAAATCTTATGTTTATATGATTTCAATTAAATACTGGGATTTCAAATCCCAACACATAAGATTGGAACGGGTTTGAAATTCAAATCATCTCAAACTTATTTCATTCCTGTAAATTAAACGGGACCGATTTATTATGTATATATTATATTTTTCCGTTTCATATTCATTAACATTGAACCTCTCCTTTACATTAAATACACACAACTTCAAAATCTGGGAATAAAATAGGAAAAGATTCAAAAAACCCCAATGGACTTTACTGTTTTTTTGATAATTTTTTTGAATAGATAAGTTTTTAGATATTCCAAAACTTGTTAAACAAATCATTGAACTTTCTAAAACATATTTGATACATTCTTATGACCTATAAAACCGGTTAATGTGGTAAAATAATAGAAAAAGTCTGGAAAAAAACCCAACGAACTTTCATATTTTGAACAATTAATTCCTTAGACATTTTTTTAAACGAAAAAACACTTACATTTCTAAAGCGAAACAAATATATCATTCTCATTATCTTAAAAACATACAAAAGTTGTATCCAAATGATAAATAATTTGCACACAAAAATGGGACTTAATTTACCTATAATTGAACCAAAATATATATACCAAGAGTTGTTTCTAATAAGAAAATATTCATTTAACATGACAGAACGGGACAAAACTCACTGTCTCATGTTTGGCGCAACATGGGACAGAACAAGAACTCACTGTCCCATGTTTGGCGCGACATAGGACAGAGACAAGAACTGGGATAAGGTGGGACAAAATAGGTTTTTTCTTGTTCCACCAAAATAGGTGGAACAAAATGGGACAAGAATGAGACAAAAACTAAAATATTACTAATCTATCTTAGTTTAATATATAAGCTTAATATGGTATTTGTTTTAATGGTCTTCACTTCTAATTTCGGCCGCCGCCACCACTACCGGCGGTCACCGATGGCCACCTCCACCTCCTCTTCCACTGCAACAATATCCTTTACCGCCTCAACAACCACCGTCCACCAAGCCCATTGCCACCTCTACTATAGTCGACCACCGACCACCACCGTCCATTGCCGCCACCACTACCACCATTCGCCACCTTCAACTCCTCCTCTACTACAACCTCCTCCACAACCTCCACGACCACCATCGGCCACCACCATTCATTGTCACCTCACCTCCACCATAACCACCACCACCACCACTATCTTCACTACATCAACCACAACTACCTCCTCCACTGTTGTCAACCATCATCACCACCACAATCTACCACCTTCATGTCTTCTATAACCACCGTTGTCCACCAAGCACCACTGCTTCTACCTTCATAACCACTGTCGGCCACCGACCACCACCTCCCATTGCCTCTACTAACATCAGCCACCACCACCTCCACCATAACCAAAACCACCTCTACCACCACCACTACTACCATCAATTATATCAAATTTTTCATTCAAATTTGGTACAAATATGAAAATTATATACAAATATTTATTCTTTAATTATTTACTTTATTTGTGTTAATTATAATTATTATATAATATTTAAAATCATCAAATAACTTTTGGGGGTAGCTTGTCTAGTTCTGTCCCGTCCAGTCGTAGTCGTACCAAACACCAGACATACTCCTGTTATGTTCAATCATGTCATGTCCAGTCCTATCCTCTTGTCATGTCCAGTCCAGTTCTATTCTGTTCAATCATGTTCAATTATGTCTGCGTACCAAACGCTACCAAAATGATTATTAATTGTGAAGCAAAGTGGATTGTTAAGTTTATGTCAAATTAGGTTTTTGCATAGATCAGCTAGAAGCCGTTGGTAGGAATAGAACTTGAGAACTTGAAGTGTTTATGTCAAAGAAACTGGTGGAAAATGAACTCTAAAGATAAAATGAAAACAAATTCTAAAATCAAACCGAACCTGAGAAATCAAACTGACTTGTGGGAACCGAACTTGAGAAATCAACCTTGTGGGAACCAGCCTAGAATGGCCGGCGACGATGGACCGGTATGGTGGCGACAAGTTGTGCGGCAACAGGTGGTGGTATGGTTGCGACGGGCGGTGCGGCATTGACGAGTGGTACGACGGCGAGTAACATGTTCTAGAAAGTCTAAGGATATATTTAACATGTTTTGAAAAGTCCAATGATTTATTTGTTCCAAAAAATAGTCCAAAAACTTAATCATTCCAAATAGTAAAGTCCATTGAGTTTTTTGGACTTTTTTCAATAAAATATTAATAATTGTGTATGAAATTAACAAAAATAAGATATTTATCTATACTATCTTATAAATTATTTGGCTAAAACTCTTAAAACTCTTAAACTCGTTCATCCTTAAACGATTTCATCCCTATCCGATTTCATCCCATATCTGAATTCGTGTAACTAACTGCAGATAAACACAATCAAATACAGGATAAACATCTCATTTTACACAATCAAATAC